GCGAAATGAACACTGACTGCGGTCCCTGCGCCCACGCTGTAGACAATTTCCCTTTCTGCTGCATAGCAGCACGGAGCACGCGAAATGAACACTGATAAGCACTGAAAAAAAGAATATCGATAGCAGAAGTCAAGAAAGACAATCCGCTGCCTTGGACACACTCTCGAGCATTCGTGAGAGTTGGAGTGGACCCACTAAAATTGAGGTGCTGCAGGCGGGGCGCCGCAACCGCCTTGCGAACCACAATTTGCTTTTCCTTCTGACGAGGACCTGACACCTCTGCGAGTTCTTTTCACTATCGAGATTTGTGTGAGCGTGTGGAGGTGTGAACACGAAACGAACTCGTAAAGTTTTCGTTTCGTGTGCCGTGTGGCGAGGCCCTGTGACTGCTTGGCATGTGCAGGTCGCCGATTCCCCGACGTCACCCATGTCGCTCAATCTGGGACATATGTGGCGGCTGCGTATGCAAAAGTTGGCCTGGAGCAACAGCTCGGGCTTTTGAGTCACGGGCCTCGCCATAGTCCATGTCTGAACATGAAGAGTGTATCTTCAGGTAGAAACCGGCCACGATACGTTCGCCAGTTTCACATTTGATCGGTGATGGCCCCCCCGTGACCAGGATCACCTAGCAGAGGCCCAGCTGGGCAGGAGGACCAGAATTATGCCGCGGAGCGGCAGCTGATGCGTGTGAAAATCAGTCCCAAACACCCTCTCTTTCCCATGGTGCACGGGCCTTGCAGACCATTTCTTCTCGTGGTTGTACTGAATCGCGGTTTTCTGTATTTTATACTATTTCTCGGGATTTGTGACGGGCACATGGAAAGGGCATTTGGAATCTCGATAGAGCATGATCCTGTGCTGTTTATGGAAAATGAGCGACCGACAGCGACGGTTTGTGAAATTCCAAGGGGTTGAGTTCCGGGCCCGCGGGGCGAGTTGACGGCGGGGGGAAGGGGGGAGGAAGGGGGAGAGAGCGGCGGAGAGGGGAGGGGCGATAGAACAGGGGAGCACAGGGTAAGGGTGATACGGCGGGGGAGGACAGGGGAAGGGCGATAGGCGGCGGAAAGGGGGACAGGCAGGGGTAAGGTCGGAAGGGAAGATTTTGATTCGAGTTTTGGCCACACACGAAGAATACGGGTTCTTTTCCCACGGCGCCGAATCGTGTAGAACTTGTTGTTGTCACCACTTGATTGACAGGCGCAAGTTCATCTCCTTGTCCCTGCTCTCGGTACATCCATCTCATCGTCCCCGTTGTGTGTTTCTTCTCTTTTGCGTCACTTCCTCTCTCAGTTGTCAAGGAATGGATGGAGCAAAAGGTTGGGGATGGAGAGTGCGTGTACGCGCGCCTGTGTCTAGGCGTCGGAAATCACGATGCATGTGACCTGAGGGGGTTGCTGCAAGGGGCTGAGCAGCAGTCAGAGGAGTCAGAGGAGGGGGTGGAAGAGAACACAAAGATAGAGCGCATGTAACACACACAGACACAGAGAGAGAGAGAGAGAGAGAGAGAGAGAGAGAGAGAGAGAGAGAGAGAGAGAGAGAGAGAGAGAGAGAGAGAGAGAGAGCAATATCGTCGGAGGATGCCTTCGGGCTCGCAAGTTGATGGTGCGTGTGGTGTCCTCTGATCCCGATCTCTGAGTACCTCATCCTTTTTAGCTGTTCTCTTCTCCACAGATCCTCCGGCGTTCCTCTTTGTTTCTAGCTTCGTTGTATTTGTTCTCTTCTCTCTCTCCTTCTGTGTCCCTGTCCCGCTGTCTGTCTGTCTTCCCCCCTCTTCCCCCCTCTTCCCCTCCCTTCCCTTCCCTCCCCTCCCGCCTCGCTCGTTTTGCTGTGCTTTCTGGGGTCAATCGAGGATTATATTTGCGCCACTGGAACATGCATGTGGTTTTCAGATCTGCGATGGATTAATAGCACTATTTGCCTTCTCTTTTAAACTCCTTTCCATGGGCCCATGGGGCCGCGCTTTGGACGAGCGTTGATTCGGAGTCCCAATGCTCTGGAGAGCGAGACAGGCTCTGCTAAGGCGATCGACCCGGAAGGATTCCTCCTAATGGGAAAAGGAGAATCAACTGTTGCCTATGAGGCAAAGTAAAAAGTGGACGGTTCCAATTCGACGTCGATTCACTGAATGGGTGCGCAATGCCCCGTGTTGACACGTGCCGTCATGATGCAGAAATAGCAGAAAGGGAAAAAGCGGATCAACAGGAGCTAGAGCGGGGGAACTGACTTCGAAGGAGGGAGAAGGAGGCGGAGGAGAAAACGAGGAGGAGGACGAGGAGGAGGAGGAGAAGAGATAAAGGAGGGGAATTGGGAGGAGGGAAACTGTTATTAGGTCTGGAGATCGGCGAAGTTTCGTCGATTTTTTTATCGACGTCTTCTCTGCGCTTATCTCTTTCAGTCCGTTAAGCGTGGCAGTTTCGGTGTTCGTCTTCTCTGAGCTCCAGGTGGAGCGGCGAGTTTCGTCGATCATTCTATCGACGTTTGTGAACAACCTGTTGTCTTCAAGTAGCTGCCACGTGTCATGATGATCGAGTATCAGAGCATTGGCGAGTACGTCCACACAGAACAGCTCGCCATCGTCGTTGTTGCCATGGGGAGGAGCTCTTTTCCCACCGAGGACTATCGGCAGCGGCATGTGTCAATGGGATTGCAACAGGATGAAAGGGTTGATTATGTGCGAGTGATTTGACAGCAATACAGAAGGGCAGAAGAAGCAGCAGGATAGAGGACGACCAGGGAGACCACGAGGTCGAAAAGGGGAGGTTGGGACGAAGATGTGTGCAAAGAAGGATTGAAGCCGAACTTATCAGGGGCGCAAGAAAGACGCAATGAAGGCGGAATGAGCGTGAGGGGACAGAAGCATGAGGGGCGCGAGACTATGTAGATGACGATCCCCTTTTTTGTTGACTAGAATACGTAGAGAGAGAGAGAGAGAGAGAGAGAGAGAGAGAGAGAGAGAGAGAGAGAGAGAGAGAGAGAG